CGCCCCGGAGGTGCCCTTCATGAAGGCTGTGAGGAGCAACCGTGGGTGACGGGCCATCGTTCTGCCCTGAACCCGGGAACCCACTTCATTTCAGCACTTGGTGGGTCTGAGGAGGCTCCTGTTCTGTCCGGAGTCTGCCCTGGAGGTTAAAGGAGGTCGCCCCTGGGAACCTGGGCCAGGCTGGGGCCGGTCACCTGCTGGGGGGTTCCCTGCCAAACCAGCTGGGGGCGCCAGCCTCTCCACGTGGGAGGCTTTGGACAAGAAGCCATTTCTCTCAGACCCTGTGCCACTGAGCCACTGGAGCTTGCAAACATCTAAAGTGGTATTTAGCACCTTCCCACTCACCGCAGTCTGGTGGATGAACTGTGAAGTGGCTTGAATCCGGGGTCTGTCTTTTTGCATAAACACACTGGGATTAATTAGAGAGAAACAGCCGTGTACACCAGTGCGTGGTCTTCAGGAGGGTGGAGTGGGACAGCGACCATCTCAGCAGGATCCCCTAGCCAACCAGAGGGCCAGGGCCTGGGCCAGGCCGTCTGCATCTGAGTCCCGCTCTTCAGTGCCAGGCCTGCCACTCCCGTCTGCAGACATGCCACTGTCCGGGGTCAGCCCTCCCCTCCGGCAGACCTGCCCCTTCCAGCTGCCCCCGACACACACTTTCTTCTTATGGTTTGCCATCTTACTCTGTCCCCCTCACAAAACTACAAATGCTGGGGGGCAGGGACTGGGCAGGGAACTAGTCATAGGACAATTTGCAGAGCAAGAAAATTTTCTCCTTGGGCTGAAACAATGTATGTTCTATCATTAAATTTTATAGAAAACTTTACAGCAAAATTTTACAACAGTGCCTGAGTTACTATTTTTTAAATTCCAACAGTTTAATATATAGAGTGAAAAGTCAAACTTCCATGATTTCCTCTAGCAGTCTTGTGGCCTTTATTTCTGTTTCAATCTTTGCTCCACCTGGATTTTTTTTTTAATTATTATTATTTTTTGGTATATGAGTTAGGGTCCAAGTTCCAGGAACTAATTTGGGTTGTCTAAAGCGGGGGGGGAGGAATATTTATTTTGCTCAAGGAAAACTAAGTACAGGAGTGAGGGCTGCAGGCATAGCTGGATCAAGGAGCTGAAACGATATCACAGTGCTCTCCTGTTGCCTGTGCTGGCTTCATTCTTAGGCAGATCCTTCCCACAAGGTGGGAAAATGGGGCCAGCAGCCACAAAAGCACTTTCTCCCTCAGCAGGCCCTGAACAAAAGGCTGTGACCAGCCCTCATTGGACGGTGATTGGTGTAGGATTGCACTGGCCTGCACTTCTCCAATGAGGGCTGCCTGCCCAGGTCTTCGAATGTGCTGACTGGCCAGCCTG